ATATATATATATATATATATTATACTACTAAAAAATATAGCTATAACTTATTAGGTTGGGTTAATATTCCCATTAATATTAATACATGAAGATGTGGAGTATGGATATTACTAAGATATATAATGGTGGGAATCATGACCATTTGATCCCTTAAATAATACTTTCTCAAAATTTTTGAATTATATGATCTTAAATTAAAATTATATATAATAATTTAAAATCCTCTGATCTTAAATTTTATATGTACAATATTGAAATTAGAGAATATACTAAATATAAAAAGAGATTCATATTTTTTTTAAAATAAAGGTAAAAATACACTCAATTTGAAACAAAAATAATGATATTTATAATGATAATTTGATATCATTAAAATGAAACTTAAATTTAAATCAAACATTACAAACACGTAGCGAAAAAAGTTGAGCAAATTTTTTACACGTTAAAAGGAATGGCAGAGTGGTCCTCCCCCACCAAACACCTCTTACCTTAGATATCTGTATTTCAAAATATATCTAAATTTAATAAATTTTACATATCCTTATAATCAATATCAATTTCATGCTTCGTGCATCAAAATTTATTCCATTTGTGTATATCTGATATCAAATATTTAGTGCAATAATATAATCTAGTACCAAAACATACATTAATACATAAATACATGTATCTAGTATCAAAATATGCACTAATATATTCACTAATTGATTCAACATGTTATCACCATCGAGCAGAGGTGAAGCCAGAATTAGGAGTTTGAGAGTTCTAAATTTTAGAACGAAACAAATTTTTGTTGATAGTGGTGTTCAAATCCACGACAAATGAGTAAAAAAAATATTTTCACTGTCCTTCTTTACCACTGAGCTGTCAATCAATTTTGTTAGGGATTCACAAATTCATATACATATATATTTATCGAATTTTCTAATATAAATACAGACTCTACGAAAAAGGTAGTTGGCTCATTCAAACCCATGAACCTCCACCTAGCTACATCTCTGCCACCGAGCAGAAAGAGAAGAGATAAAAGAGTGAAAGGAGAGATTATGCAATTATTTTAAAGTAGGGTTTAAAAAAATTATTAAAGGCATGATAAGAATGTTTGTCTAACTAGATAAGTTTCTTTGAATAAACCAAAAAGGGATCTTCTAAAATCATAAACACATAGAGTATAGTATGAAGTAGTAGTATAGTTTTAACTCTTCTTTGAATTATACATGTTATTTGGTACAACGAAGTTTCCTTTCTACTTAAGAGTGGGAATTGTTGTCTTATTATCGAAACTTCCAACTAAAAACTCTTTTTGTTTGGCTAATTGTTTAAGAGTGGCAACACATTTACAAAATGTTTGTGAGATGATAAAATAGTCACTTTTTCTTATTATAATAAGTAATAGAATTACAATTTCGAAGGTCAATTAATTTTTGTCTTCTATCGGTAAATTTTTTTTCTAACAAAAACACATAATATATAATATATAAACATATTTTTTAATTTAATTAGAATTGAATGAAGCTAATTTAAGTAGTAATATATATTCTAATAATCATGATTAAGGCATGTGATTATTAAAAAAAATTTGCACCATCGATTTTTAAATAAGACACACGTCATACATTTTAGCATAGAGTTTATAAAAGGGATGATAAATTAGTAAAAATTTGAATCGCTAAACCAAAAAAAAACCTTAATTTATCCATACTATTAAATATAATCACTTCTCCAAATATTAAATTTATTATATTCAAAAAGTTATTCGTTCTATTTGTTGTTCCTAAAAAAAAGGTATATCAAGGTCAATACTTAACAACTAAAAATAGACATAGGTGGTATATATTAGAGGAAACAATTAAATAAATATATTGACATGAAAATCTAGTTTAGGCACTTAGAGAAAATCCAATATATAAAATAAAACCTAATCAATTGGTGAACAAAATATTATTTTCCATTTAATACAATCTTTTTAGGAGAAAAGGATAGACAGTCTAATAATTAGATAGTAAAAGAACTAATAAATCTTTTAAATAATAATGAAGTCCTAGGTTTTTATGTAAGTTTAAGGACTAAAGAAAAGAAAAACTAAAATGAATACAAGGTGTTTCCAAAAATTATTTTTAGGAAAAAAAAACTAATTTTAAATGATTTACACTTTACAGTAAAGTAATTAAATGTAAAAAGAAATGATGTCACGCACCTCTATTTGAGGTATACTTGTTGCCAATAGCTCAATATGTACAGGAATCGTTTGATCATCAAAATTATTCTTTTTAATTTAATTACTTATATAGACATTTAACGGTAACTAAATCTCTATATAAGTAATTACTTATGTGATTAATTAATCAAGTTGAGGTGATTTTATTACTTATTAAAAATTAAAGTCATGAATTATAATTCATATTTATTTTTTCTACAAAAAGTACATTTAAACAAACAATATCATTTGCAAAAACTATAACCAAATATAACTTCATCTTCAGAAGGTATTTAATTTACTAAATTATATTTTCAAAACTTAGTTTAGTTAAAAGTTGATACTTATATAAATAGGTCATCAAGGCCATTTGAATCCCTTATACATTTAGCTCTCTCTTCTCTTCTCTTTTCCCATTCATAATAATGACTTTTTTCCCATTCCGTTTCAAGCCAAAATCATATCTTTCTATATTCCTCAACACCTCTTTCCTTTTTCTACTCATATTTTACACTCTTACTTCCAATGTTACTTTAAACCAATCTCAAATTAGACACATCCATTTATCAAACACTAACAATAATGATTGTTCCAACTTACATGACTTTAGTGATGCACAATCAAAATGTACCTACATAAAAGAAAACATCAATTCTTGTTCTACAAAAGGGTATTTGAATTATCTTCAATTTTTCTATTGCACCTTAGGTACGTTACCAAAATTAGGGTACGTTACCCTAGTTGTATGGCTTATTTTGTTATTTTATTTATTAGGTAATACCGCGGCGGAGTACTTTTGTCCTTGTGCTGAAAGTTTATCTAAAGTCATGAATCTTTCCCCAGCTATAGCTGGAACAACTCTTCTCCCTCTAGGAAATGGAGCTAACGATGTTTTTTCGAGTATCATATCGTTTACTCGATCTAGTAATAGTGGCACTGTGGGACTTAATAGTGTGTTAGGTGGTGCATTTTTCATTTCTTGTTTTGTTGTGGGAGTTATAAGTATGTTAGTGTGCATGACTAAGTCCCAACTTGGTGTAACGATTGATAAATCGAGTTTTATTAGGGATGTGTTGTTTATTATTTTTACATTATCATGTCTTGTTGGTGTTATTATTGTTGGGAGAGTTAGTGTGTGGATAGCAATTTGTTTCACCTCCATTTACGTTGTGTACATTTGGGTGGTATGTGTCATGCATTTTCTTGTTAGAAATGTGAATTTACATGACAAAGAAGATGATGGATTTGATCGCGATGTTGAGGTACCATTGTTAGGTTGTATTGATGAGGAGGATTGTGAGAAGAAAACCATACAAATGAGTTCTAGTACTCCTATAGACGCGGCCTCAACATCTTGTTGCATATTCTTGCATCGTTTTCTTGGTGTTCTAGAACTTCCCCTGTACTTGCCAAGAAGGCTAACCATCCCTGTTGTTGATGAGGAACGTTGGTCCAAGCCAATGGCGGTGATTTCAGCCACACTGGCACCAATTCTAGCCGCGTTTGTTTTAAGTCTTACAGGAGAAGTCATAGTTTATTCCAACACAAACATCGTCATTTTGATGATATCAGTTTTTGTTGGACTTATCTTAGGTAATGTGGCATATTTTTCTACACAAAACTCTAGTCCTCCTAAGAAATGTTTGTGGATTTGGCTTCTTGGAGGATTTGTTATGAGTACTACATGGACATATATACTTGCACAAGAATTGGTATCTTTGTTAGTGTCTTTTGGATATATTCTTGGTATAAGCCCTTCAATTTTAGGACTAACTGTCCTAGCTTGGGGAAACTCAACTGGTGATCTAATATCAAATGTTGCTT